GCACTACCAGAGCAACTTATCGTAGAAAGCGGAACACGCAAAACCGCCCAATCAGGCGGATAGAGAACTAGAGGTGCGGAAACGTTAATTACTATGTAGGAGAACGAGTGTCAACGGATTAGAGCCATTCCCGTAACTATCTTGAACATCACTTGGGATGTATTGGGTAGAGGGGTAAAGTCACACAAGCTTCTCCGTTATGAAAAAAAGGAAAACTAAAACAACGAAGGAAAAGGCGAATCTTGAGATAACGAAAAAAAAGCTCACAACTCTCGTACTATGAATTATGTTGAAAGATACTTTCAAATCTTACCAGATAATGGCATTTGACATACTCACACTCCTTTTTAAACAATCCAGGCTACTCTTCACAATTTTGCACTGTATGCAGCTTGGGTACATCAGAAGTTAGATGGTTAATAGATTCAGCTCTTAACTGAAACGCTGGATTCTTCACTATGTCTAGATCGATAAAAAACTTAAAAATAACGAAATGAACTGGCAACAGATACAGGACAATGAGTAGGAAGGCCGGGAAGTTTTCTAAATCGAAAATAAAATGAAACAAGGTGCTTCGCGGCAGACTCAGCGAAGGCCTTGACCAGAGGTCACGAAACCATGCGGAGGTTTTTGGCTACAACGAATCAGCACTCAGAGAATTTTTTTCAGCAACGGAAAAAAAACAGTAGAAGCTGCGGGGAAAAATCAATTTTTTTGAATGTGCCAATCGAGAAACCCAGGGGAGAAAAATTCGAACTTTTTGAAAGGAATTAGAGCTTGAGTGAATCTTATCGACAATAGAAAATACAGAAAATACAGTTCGGATACAGACGAGCGATCCTGCACAATTGAATACGACAAAGCCAACGCGGATCTACAAATGTACGACGATTTGGTCTGAAAAGAGCTTTTTTCAAAAATTATTCAATGGATCAGATCAAGATACAATGGGGCTAAAATTGAGGAATTCACTGGACAATATATAATTAAAATTAAATCTACAATTTAGCTTCATAGCTGATAACAACAGTGTTTTCAATTTTATTATCCAAATAAAAGGCTCAAAAGCTGGTGGAACTATGCAACAAGCCTTTTTGAGAAAAAGACCAGAAACTTCCGAGATTTAAAAAGAATTACCATAGAGTCATAAAAATATGTAACTTAGAAATACACTGTTTACAGGGGGGCGTTAGACAGTGCCGAAGTTAGAGAGTGCCGAAAAAGGCGGGAAATATTGGAACGCAATTTAAGAGGCTAGCTTTTGGCGGGAAAATTAATAATGACACTTGAAACTTGTTCAGACTCAATTTTGGCGCCAAAATCGATGAGCAAACAAAACTTTCTTTTCTTTTCTCAATTAGTTCACGACAAATAAGTCAGTTTCTTTCATTTTCGGCACTCTTTTCAAATTGTTCAGACTCAATTTTGGCGCCAAAATCGATGAGCAAACAAAACTTTCTTTTCTTTTCTCAATTAGTTCACGACAAATAAGTCAGTTTCTTTCATTTTCGGCACTCTTTAACAGATTTTTGTTTTCGGCACTCTCTTACTTCGGCACTGTCTTACCCAACCGTTTACAGACCTACAAACCTCCGACCGGCATGTGGAGGATACGTCCACAAAAACACGGCAGAAAACGTACTTAAACCAGTTTTGGGACGGGATAAGCTTAAGAGATGGGATCCAGATAACTCAGGAACGCAACACTCTCAAGAACAACAATTCCATAAAGACACAGGAAAAATACTCAAAAGAATGTGACTTGAATTATCCCAAAACTTCAAGGGGTTATTTGCACAGTTAGAATGGAGAACTAGTTTCTCGGTCCGATCGAAACTCTTCCGTAAATTCACAACTATGCAATTGGAAGGTACATGAAAGTAGACAAATCATTTTGCAAGAAAAACTAGAACGTCATATAATTGAAACGTCTCTGAACTATCAACCATTTTAAAAAAGCAAATCAAAACTTTTTCACCTAAAATATTTGGGTTACACTGTATCAACCTTATAATCTCTTACTACAGATTCGACAGTTTTAAACAAAAAAAACACAAAAATTTTTACCAAAAGCCGAGAACTGTACAGTAATGGAGGGTATTGACCCTTACAATACCAAGTCGGAAAAAAGGCACTCTGCTTTTTCAAGCTGGATCTGAAGTACGCTTACTCACAGCTACTTTTAAAACTATCTTTTTAAATTTGAAAATTTTTTTAAATAAAAATCATCACCCCACACGCCATATAAAGTACAAAAGGATATATTTCGCTACTTGTAACAAATCAATTATGACAAATAAGCTTCGTTAAACCAATTTGGAACGATTTCTAAGACGGATTAACTCTCCGCTTACGCGTTAATAGCGCGAAATATATCGCGCGTTAATTGTCCCAAATTGGCCAAAATGGCAATCTTTAAACCCCCATAAATTTACAAAAAATGATCACAGGTGAAATATCTTTTCAAATTTGCGCTCAGGACAAAAATACCTTTCGAAAGATAAAAAAAAGTTCCGTCAAAAATGGCTAGTTAAAAAGTCGAAATTGGTCTGAAGAAAACAAAAACCCACCCCGAGCACAAATATTCCGTTACTTTCGTATCGAAAGTCGGAACAAAAAGACTGATTGAAGTAACTTTTGAAGTACCGCCCTAAAATATTGGAAGTAAAAAGATATAGGTCCACCTTACACAAACAATCAAATGCTAAATGATAAGCTCTGTGTGTTTTTGCAATATTTGGGTCCATTGACTCGCTTGAATTTGTTTTGGAGTGTTTTTTGAGCCTCCTTTTGGTTTAAGACTCCCCTATGAGCTACGAGTTAATTGAAAAGTGGTAAAAATTACTTTTTACTTATCTCATAACTTTTGAGGCCCTGTTAACTTTGTGAACAAATCAAAAATCTCTTTTTGTGGATTTTATCTTTCAATTTGAGCTCAATTTGAAGTCAACAATCTTTGAAAAGTTGCGTGTTAATGGAACTTTGTCTTGAGATAAAAACCGCCCCGTGCGCAAAAAGTCTGTCATTTTCATGAAAATTGAAGTTACTTATTTAACAATAGCCAAATTTGATTAAAAAATTAATCTTTGCACTAATTTGCACTAAATTAATTTTATAGTTCTTTTTCAGTTCAAGTTTCAGCACGAACATACACAACTGAAAATAAAATTTTATAATTTTGTTTTCGTATATCTCAACAACTAAAAACAACCAAGTCTTTTATTAAATATTAAATCTGTATTAAAATTGAATGTAAATAGGTTGGGTGAAAAACAATTTATATCGAATTAAATGAATTTAAACCAATTTAAGTCGAACAAGACTGCTCGTATCAGGGCGAAGATCTGAATGTTCCGACTGCCCTTTAAGGTATATGGAGCAGTAATAACAAAAAAAATCAATGAAATAAAACAAAATGAAAATTTTTTTTTCTAAAATTTAAAATTTTTTACGAAAATCATCCCCCCACACGCCATATAAAGTACAAAAGGATAGATTTCGCTCCTTGTAACAAACCAATTACGGCAAACAAGCTTCTTTTAACCAATTTGGAACAATTTCTAAGACGGATTAACTCTCCGCCTACGCGTTATTAGCGCGAAATATATCGCACGTTAATTGTCCCAAATTGACCAAAATGACAATCTTTAAACCCCCGTAACTTTACGAAAAATAAACACAGGTAAAATATCTTTTCAAGTTTGAGCTCAGGACAACAATACCTTTCGAATGATATAAAAAAATTCCGTCAAAAATGGCTATTTAAAAATTCGAAATTTGTCTGAAGAAAAAAAAAACCCACCCCGAGCACAAATATTCCGTTACTTTCGTATCGAAAGTCGGAACAATGGGTCAGATAACTCCATACAGATTCAACTTGTTGAGAAGTTTAGCTTGGCATTCCTTTCGATATATAATTGTTGTAAATCTAAGTGAACAGGAGCAAATTTCGATACCAAAAAAAACATAGCATAGCTATCTAGCAGAAAGAAAATAAACCGAAAGCCATTAAGTCAAAACAAAATTGAAAACATGTCAATAACCACATCTGCAAAAACCTTTCACTTTTTGTCTCGATTGATGCATAGCACAAAAAATTGTTGTGTGGCAACTTAGCCGACAAACTATAGTCAAGCCTATTCAATTTTTCTCGAAAAAAACCCAGACATTGAAAAAAGTCGGGCCGGGACTCGAAACCCAGACCATAGGGTGCAAAGATAACTGCAATAACTCCAGACCCAGAGGGAACGCGCCTTAAAGTTGCTATGGTTCGATAATAACGCAACATCAATTACTTCCAAATTTGTGCGAAAAATTTTTAACGGGAAAAAAAATCTAGATCCCGATTCAATACATTTGCCCTTAAGTATAAAAAACCGATTCTGGCCGGATTCGAATCTAAACCCTAGGCCGTACCAGGTGTAGTCGTTAATCTAAACTAAGAGTACCAGGGAAGCTCGAAAATTTGAATTCATTAATCAGGCGAAGCGGATCTTCACTTTACTTGCGATAGATCACAATCATCTATCAGAAAATAAGACAAAATCCGCTAAATCTAAACTTTCTCTGAACTATCACGGTAACCGAAGTTACCTTCATCATTTTACCCAGTCAAAAACCCTTGGAATTTCATAAATTAGACAAGCGTAAAGGAAAGTATAACAAGAAATTAAAGAGAGTTGAAATGAAAAGTTAAAAGGGCCGAGATGGGAATCAGGTCAAAAAGATTGATGAAACTAACGCCTGCAGAATAAACCGGATAATTAAGTTTGTTAATCACAGTCTAATGTACTTTATAATTATAATTCTACCAAGCGGAGAAGAAAAAAGACAGACTTTCCCAACACCGATCTTTGTTTTAAGGATTTTTCTGCAATATCATATCAATCACAACCAAGACAGCTTCATCATGACGATATGCTTAAATCAATTGGATGCTATTATGGTTTTAAGATCTGCATTTGAAAAATTAAGCTTGCGATTACCAAAAAGTGACATACCAAACTCACGAGACGCCTCATTGCTCCTTCATAGCTGTACACGCATTCGCACGGGTCATAACCGCCCTCTGCCATAATAAATTACCAAATCAATCTGAAAAAAACAGAATCATTTGCTTGGGATTTTATTATCTTTATGTTCATTTCCTGTCCAAAAGAAAGCAATAGGGTGCCTACAGCAGCAAAGCTGATTCAATAACAGACAAAACTACACGGCTAACATTTGTTAGAAAACGGAATTTGCTCATAAACAAATTCCAGCAAGATCTATTATCAATCAAGTACTTTAGAAAATGCCTGACAATACATCGAAAAATAAAAGCAAAATCGGAAAATATAATTAATGTAAGTTTCATTTTGGTCATTTAATCGACTTTAAGGCAGCACTTAATTTGACTTTAACTTGACAAATAAATAATATGCAACTCAAAATTAAGTTGAGAGATAGTTAAGGTGAATAAATGGATGTACGTTTTTCGGAAGCTTAAATCCTCTTCTGTTTGATTTTTTTTCCAACTAAAAAACTTCCTAAATTTTAATTACAAAATCACTTTACTTTTCTAAACACTAGCGTGTTGAGCACCTTCGGTGCTTCTAATTGGTAACAACTCAAAAACCTCACGTATTGAAAATAAGATCTGCATCCTTTGAGTGTACTCTGTCAGCAAGCAATTACAGGGTTGTAAAGGTAATTTCAAAATTAGTTTAAAAAATTTTATTCAAGTTTTTTCAAAGTTAGAAAAACCATAAATTTTAGGTTTAAGTTTTTTAAATCCGTTTTTTGAAAAATTTCAAAATGACATAAAACGTCACATCTCGGAAACTAAAAGCCATTGAGCAGTCGCATTCGAACTCAAGATTTACGACTCCTGAGAGAACTCTCACAGTACCCAAATACAGCTTTGAGAATTTAAGCATAAGAAACGTCCAATCTCAACAAGATCAAAGTTCAAGCATCTGCAAAACAGTTTTTCAATACTTTTTCTTAGGGATTGCGAAAACTAGATCTACCGTTCCTTGAGTACCGTTGAAGACCAGGAACAATGATTCAAGATTGTGTACAACCGCTATGATACGAAAGCGACGAAAGAAATGTTAGACCTTAAGAAACGAGACACCAGGACAAACGGCAGCAAAGATTTATTGAAGAAGGCCAGTCTAGAAGTAAGGAAACATTACTTTACAATTGGAGCTGCAACAGACAGGGACGCATTGCCAAGTGAAGTCATAAACTCAAAAAGAAGGAATCATTTCAAAAAGAAACTGACAATTTTTGAAGAGAAACTTGAAGCAATTATTTCGAAACGAAGAATTGAAATGGAATACAGCACGAGCTGATCGAAAGCGACAAAAAAACTCCTATATGAACTGAACTGAATACACAACTGGCCATAGGCACATTTTCTTGATTCATTGGAAATTCAACAACTGCTAAACGTTTGTTCTTGTGATTTTCAAAAAATCAGCAGAGGCACATTTTCTTGGGTCTCGGGAAGTTCAAACAGCTGTCTGAGAGTTCCAGTCGCAGGAAGTTCAAACAACTGCCCCAAACAATTTCACTTTATTTTTCGGAAATGGTTTTGTTCCTGAGAAGTTCAAACAATTGTCCAACGGATTGGGACTTGGAAAGTATAAAAAACAACCGAACACTTTTGGTCTTAAAAAAATCAAATAATTGCCCAACATTGTTTTTAATTGAGTCTCGGAAAGTTCAGACAATTGCCAGAAAGGTATTTTTCTTCAGTTTTCTGAAGTTCAATGGTTTGTTTTTGGAAACTTCAACCAACTGCCTAGCACTTTTGTTCTTGTGAAGTTCGAACAACTGGACAAAGGTGTTTTCCTTGATTTTTGAAGTTCAAAAAATTAACTAAAGGTAAATTTTTAGTCTTGAGATTTTCAAACAACTGCTCAACTGTCAATTTTCAGCCTCAAAGGCTGTAACAACTTTGGAATCTATTACCAATTTCTTCATAATGAAATTAATTATTCCTGATTGAAGAAATTAAAGATCCCGTTAATTGTATTCTAACAAAGAACCAAGCATCCTTTAGTATTATCCTTGATAACATTGATTACAGTAGTGATAATTGTAGATAGATCATTAAATAACTAGGTGAAGCTAATTGCATAATTATTGTTTCATGTTTTATAGCAAGACAACATTGTTGTGACATTCGACCAGAATTGACAAAAAGACAGTTACGAAGGGCTAGCAGCTAACCATCCGAATTGGCAGTTTTAGAGGATTAACAGTGTTATTCAGACGATTAGACAAATCGTGAAAGCTGAAGGATTCGGAAATACTTCAATTTTAAAAATTCGAATTGTGACGTCACACTACTGAGAAACGTCAATAACGGCCATTTTGAAGAAATCCAAAATAAAAACAGAACAACAATAGAAGTTGCGAAAACAACAACCACGACAGTTGTGAGAAAAACGAAGAGAAACACGACAGACCCCCTCCTGTCAACGTCCGAGAGGAGAAGACCCTACCCAGACGTACTCGGAGGACCCTCAGCCAACTTCGGTCCGGCTACAGTCAACACCTGTTGTCGTACCGGGCCAGGCTCGAACCAGACCAAGAGTCCTCCTGTCCCCTCTGCCATACAGCCCCCCATACGACTGCCCACCTGTTCCAATGCCCCACAAACCCCACTAACCTCCCCCTCACTGCCCTTTGGACAAACCCGGTGGAAGCCGCCCGTTTCATTGACCTGGCCGGGGTACACCCCACAATGTAGGGCCCCGGCGAGAGGCAACTACAACAACAACAGAGTGTCAGCAGAGACCGCTCCGAGTTGCAACGATTGTGTCGCTACAATCGTTGCAAGGCCATTCACGCTAACAAGAAAACCGAAAGTGCGGAGTCAGCATCGCAGGAGGAGGAAATGGAACATTGATGAATGGTCGAGAAAACAAGAGGCAACAAGAAAGAAAATTAGAAGAATTTAGAAGTTTTAGAACTTCTAAACGACGAAAAAAGAAGAGAACAAAGGAATGATGAAGAAAAGTTAAAACTCAGAATTGTTTTATGTGTGTGAAAAACTCAAGTGAGAAACCAAGCAACCAAGTTGTAATTAAAAACTGAAACATTTTGTTGAGTTCTGAAATTGTTGCATTTATAAATTTGCATTTTGGTTTTAGTTGAAGTGGCTTTAGAGACACTCACTTATTATTTATTTAGAAAGGCTTGAGGGAAGAGTATGTTTAAATATTCCAGCCTGCATGATTGTTTTTAATCACTTAGGAAAACTGATCACTTTGTGGTGATATGAAAGACTTGAGTAACCTCTTGAAGAGGGAGGTTGGTACATTGTTCTTTCTAATCACAAAGTTTCTTAGTTTTAATATTCAGGACAATAAACAAGCAAGATTTCCGAAGGGAAGGAGCATAGTAGGATAATTTTAGCTTGTTGCTTGGCAGGACTGTCCTGCAGGCCAACAACTTTTAAATCTAAGAGAAAAAGTTTTAATCGGGACATAGACACTGGAAGTCAGAAAAGATGTTTTATCTTAGGTCATATTCTCAATGTGCAGATTAATGAAAGAATTTGAAGGCTATAGTGATGTAGTATGATGCCATTTATATTCTGCAGTGAGTTGATATGACGTGGGTAAAAGTAATTCCGTGCATTTTGTAAATTCTGTTCGATGGCACTGTAACCATTTTATGAACATTGCGCGATTCAATGAGGACATTGACCGGACTGTCCGGGGAGTATGTGACATTCGACCAGAATGGCCAAAATGCAGTCTCTGCAGAATTCGGGATTTTAGCAGTGAACCTTCCGAATTGGCGATTTAGAACGGATAAGGACGTTATTTGAACGATTGGCCAAACGGTGAAGGCTAGAAGATTCTGGAATTCTAAATTTTAAAAATTCGAATTATGACGTCATATTTCTGAGAAACGTCAGAAACGGCCATTTTAGCTAAAATAGCAGAAAGAAACAGAACAACTTTTATTTGTGATTGCGAACAGAACGAAAATCGAGATTAAAGAAAAACAGCAACGAACTACAATAGCAGAGAACGTTCCAAGTTGCAACTATTGTGCTGCTACAATAGTTGCAAGGCCGTTGCCAACAACGGTGAAGGGTGAGAACCAGCCTTCCGGATTGGTGTGAAATTGAACTTGAGGAGCTTGATTCACTGGATTCAAGAATCCGGAAGGGTTTCGGGACTGGAACTTTTAGCTTTTTATATAAACTTTTAGCTTCTTGTCATGTCCTGAATTGAATTTAATTAACAACTGGATTCGTTTTGATAAGGATGAGAAGCTAGGAGTTGGGGGAAAGGGTTGATCCATCTTCGATGGAGATGATGATTTTTATCTACTGAACAAAAACAATAGTAATATGATAAGTAGTAGCCCTGTTTTTAGGAGTGACCTCGTGGTCTGGGGATACTGAGACCCAGCCATGAGCTCACTATTTTTGCATGTAATTCAGTTAATTTGAGCGTTCTGGTCGAAGCCGGAGAACAGTAACGTTTTTGTCGACCCGATGTAAGAAAGACCACCGAAAAGTACTGGCTTGGTAGAGACGGTGAAAAACATGCAAAGCTCTGTTTAGACGCTAGCCAGTCGTCTTAAGACTTAGTTTTGTTATCCGTCGATATGTATCTTCCGGGCGAATGTTACAAGGGTTGATCCACCTTCGATGGAGATGATGATTTTTATCTTCTGAACAAGGCAATAGTAAAATAAGAAATAGTAATAGCCCTGTTTTTAGGAGTGACCTCGTGGTCTGGAAATACTGAGACCCTGCCATGAGCTCACTAATTTTGCATGTAAGTAAGTAAATTTGAGCGTTCTGGTCGAAGCCGCAGAACAGTAACGTTTTTGTCGACCCGATGTTGAAAACCACCAAAAGAACTGGCTTTGGTAGAGACGCTGAAAATCATGTAGAGCTTTGTTTAGAGGCTGGCCAGTCGTTTTATAGCTTAGCTTTATTTTCCGTCGATATGTATCTTCCGGGCGAATGTTACATGTATGTTTTTATGGCGCTCCTGGGTGTTATTCTTTCATAACATCATGACCGGCGGAACCGTTAACGAGCACTCCGCGCCGAGCGGATGCTCACATTAACGCC